ATCAGGCTGTGCAAATTGAGACAGAACAGGTAAATCCTTGGAAGATAATCACTTTAATTATACTACTCCCTCCAGCTCTCCAAAACTTCTACTTTTTTCCTTCAATACCAAATTATGAAAGTAGCAGATGTCCTTTGACATGTACTGGATTGTGAATTCCTGCCCAACTGGATGGCTAAACCCTTGTTGTGCTGCTGTAGTCCGCTTTCATCTCGATCTAGTACTTACCTAAACTCCTCCAAAGCTACTAGCTGGTTTTCTGTGTGGCAAGCCCTAACAATCAATCAGAAGGAATTTTGTAAGAACATATCAGTCATTAGTGAAAATTTACTCTGTGGAATACTCTGAGTACAGCAGCACAGCATAATGATCACAGAAGCAAGTTCAGGTGTCGCTCTAACAGATTATATGTCTACATACAATTGTCTGCTTAAGAATGGGAAAGTCTGGAAAGCTCTTCAGTCCAAAAGAAACCTTCAGCACAACTCTGTTAGACAAACTGAGAGCAAAATGAACATCTCACTTCCTTTGTTCAAAAAGGCTCTATGAAATTACCTTTAGAAGGTAACAAGCTTCAAAATATTCTGCTCTGGATTTCTGGGCATGGGATTTGAATGCAGTTGATGATTTTCAAGATCAGATCATAAAATAAGAAAACACATCTGTCAGTTGATTGAAACATATTGGTAGAATAAATACCAATTTTTCATTTGGGCACTCATCATTCAAACTTGAGACAATGTAATGACTGTGCATACCAGAACACTTGGATAATCAACTGCATGGACACCAAAACGGGACAGTGGATTTGCTCAGAAAGTTTTTACAAGTCATAATAGATTAGAACTATTAAACCTTGGCCTAAATCCAAGCTAGGGTTCTAAAAACTACTTACATAAATACAGGCTTAGTTTTTAATGGAAACTGCTTCTTCTTCCTTTTACCAGTAAGCTATGGGGTAGACTTACCACTGGTTTTTCCCAGAAACAAGAGCACAAGAAAAGGAGGAGTCATCTGTAAATAGTTACTGGAAACCAAATGGCTTTGGCAAATTAATATGTTTTCGAGTAAATCAGGTAACAGACAATGTTATAAAATAATTGTTTATACAAAAGGCATCCAGCACATGTTTTTGTATAGGAAAAACAGATTTTCATAATGGCCATGATTTAGTGATATTGCTCCGGAAGAGATAGAATGAAAAATTACTATTTTCCCCATCAACTGGAAAGCACTGTTCTTTTTAGAAGGCAATTTGAGTTTGAATGCTTACACATAAAGGCACATCTTAGCAAGGATGCCATTAAAAAAAAAAAAACAAATATACCACCTGAGTGGGGTGAAGGATGAGGGGCCTTTTTCCACACATCAGACAAATTATCCTTACATTACTATGACTTTAAAATTTCTTTTTCATCAATGTCAACTATGTTAAGAATTGAAGTTTCTGTTTTAAGATATTAACCCAGTTAATGAATTATCAATAAGGAACAGAAGGGTATGTGGGCCATATATACAAACCACTAAAAAAAAAAATTATGTAAGCCCCAAAATTTTTGGGCCAATTTCTTCTAAAAGCCATCATATTTCATCACTTTTGTGTATTAGGAGTATGGCCATTTTTATTTAAAAACAATAATAGCAAATTATCTGTTTGATTTTTTTTTTCCCCTTAATGGTAGATCTGAAAAAGAAGACAGGAATGTGGGGAGTATGTATTTTATTTCAGCAGAAAATATGAAAACTAAAACAATACAAGCAATGTATAGAATATAGGAACAGAAGAAGTATTTTGTATGACAGGAGGCTGCGTCTTCAAACTGACTTCTTTTAACTAGGTAAGAGAACTGCACAAACTTCACACAAGTGAACTGTTGGGTTCTAAATCCATATAAATTAAAATACAAAATCCTACTTTAAAAAAGACCAAGGAAAGACCCTTAGAAGTTTGAGATCATTGTTTTGGAATCAAAACAAAAATACAGCCAGCTATAAAATTACCACTTTGGAAGCCTTGTCTAGCAGGATAGCAATTAGATTACATAAAGAATCAAGTAATATTGCTGTCAGATACCCAAAATCTCAATAGAAGGCCTGTAGATTTTTCACTGAAAAATATGAACAGCGGGATTGAGGTAAGGTTCCACTTAGAAAAGTGGGTCTAAGCAACGCTGTAATGTAAGGGAAAATAACTTCCCAAGATGGGGAAAACTTTTCTAAAGCTTAAATCATGATGCAATATAAATTCTCTCTTCATGTACTCAGGTACCTATACTCAAGCATCATAACACTCAATATAATATTTGCAGTGACCATTCCATGCTGATATCACACTGTCATATGCTGTTTCTGTGGGCTTTGAAAGGGAAAGTGAGATTTTTGCCATTCCTGAAAGTGTCTGTACAAAATATGGAGTCAGCCTAAAGGACCAGATCCTGACTGGAAATTACATACTGCATGCATAAACACAAAAGCTGTAAGACACATGGCACCACCCATACATAATTATGTGTTTTTCTTCTCCTTGTAAAAATCATAGCTCAACAGTGTGAGAAATGTCCAAATGAAACTGAACCAATCAAATACATCCAGCTTGCTCCTACTCCCCCTCCCAGTCCCCCAAAAATCAATTTACAGCTGTACCAAACCATTTGCCAGATTTCAGGATTCTGGTAAACAAGTTTCTCCAGGGACAAATAACACTCACAAACTTACAGCATTCTTCATCCCAGTATGCATTGAAAACAGCCAATATTTGCATATGCAACAGCTGATTCAATTCTACTTTACAACACTGAAAGCATTCCATGAAGAAAAAAAATTGAAGATATTCAGAACCTAACATAGCATGCTTTAGTATTTTATTCTTTCCTTGGAGATTTTTCTATTGACTGCAATTAATCTTTTATGGGCTTGTGAACTTCTAAATTTTTCTTTGTATAAAAGAAGTTGATGGAGTTAATGGGCCTTGCCAGCAGGTTGTTCTAAGCTTGGAATTGGTTCTTCCAACACCTGGAATTTTGGAAAGTGTCCTTAATTATTTCCTTGTGAATATGTAGTCATATACACAGACATACATATAAACTTATAGAATCATGTTAACAATGTCTCTTTAAGGGCCAATTTTACCCCTTTTTTTGGATGACACTTTTTTCTCCATTCACTTTATTTATAACAGTGCTTAATCACAAGGAAATTTGCAGCATATTTAGCATGCAGAGCAGAATATTTCTGGGAAGAGTAAAGACAGAAGTAATAAAAATTATGTGAGCTGCTACGGGTATAAAGTTGGTGATTTGGGGAATATAATTTTCCCTTTTCATGGCAAGGGGAAAGGCATTCTGAAACCCTGGTGAGGACAGTGCACACTTAAAGCCTGGCAAGCTCCTGCTCGGAGCAAACACCTGCGGGATGTGTCTGCAGCACAACTGCTGTATTGAAAGAGGAGTCAATCAATAATGCAGGCACACAGCTTCTGATGCTCGACACTACTGGCATTTCTTTTGTCAAGTCAGATAACACAACCAGCCATGAAGCCCCACTTCCAATACACTATCACCTAAATAAAAAATCTGAAGATACCTGGCTTTTAAGGGTACTTTTAAAGTATGTTTATAGAACTTAGGTATTTTTCATTATTCTCTCACTCTGTTTATTGGATTTGTAGACCCTAGCCATTTAATCCAACGCCAGAAATCCAACCTCAAAGGCAACATGCTTATCTGAAAATCAAAGTTACTTAACTTAGGAAGGGGGGAAGAGGGAATGGGGAGAGGAAAGGCACTGGGCTGCAGGTTTTTTGGGGAGAGAGTGTTTTTTTTTTAATCTCTGAAGTCCAAGTATGTGCTCAAATTCAGGATTGTCCTTTCTCTTTAAAAAGTATCAGTTGCTATGCGAGCTCAGTGCCGGAATACAACACACCCACAGCACTTCTAGGATATCTGATTTCCAGTGCCCCACAGCCATCAACACCAAGGCCAGGATGGAGCTTCAAACTCCTCCTCAGCTCTAGCACAACCACAGTGATACAGGCTGCAACAGCTTCAGTTCTAATCAGCTGCCTTCACACCTGAATCATAGATCCTTCTCCAGGTGCATTACCTGCCTAATTCAGAAGGTTTCAAGTAATACGGAATTCTACTAAAGCTGCTTCCATCCTCTGCAGTGCTGCACAATTTGAACACACATTAACATCAAAGCTACCATCAATTCATAAATAAGAGGCTGACTTTGATCCTGGTATCCTAAACAAAACCTGCTACCTATACAAATGGTTTGCATAATCATTGAATAATGTGAGAAATGAATGAGATTATTGTTGCTCTGGTTTTAAACTAAAAAAGGGCTGCAAGCTTTAGAAATTTGTCCTTTTTGAAAAGCTTAGAATGCACCCTTCCTGACTGCTTCATTTTTTCACCTGTTCCCTGAATTTTTTTGTATCATAGGTATGCAGAAGGAATTTGTGAATTTGCCCAAGGTGTTTTTTTAAGTTCTAAGGATTGCTGAAAAAGGAAATTGAACACTGATCCACCTTTAATGTTGAAAAACAGAGAAGAATCCCTTTTTATTAAAATGAAAATGTGTTAACATTCCCAAATTATAGCCCTAAATTTCTAAACTGCCAAAAAGCTCTCACTTAAAAAATATTAGAAAGTTTACAAATTCTCTCAAAATTACCAATGCTGCATGTAATCATCTACTTAGCAATGTTTAAGTACTCTAATCTCTTTACATTTTTCTCTCTCTCTCTCTCACACACACACAAAAATCACTGAGCGCTATTATCCATAGATTTATTTGCTTTCCCGGTAGACTACCTGTAAATCCTATTTAATATGAGTTAAAATCTGTAGTCTTGACAGGTATGGTTTTCTCACATAGTGCTTGAAAGGCATGGTGATCTCTGTGAAGTGAAATGCAGCAGTAACTAATACAGGGAAGGCCTTGGAGCACAGCTTAACACCTTGCAGCAGTTTCTACCAATAAAAGGTAGCTCTCACCTCTGTGGTTGGTGAGGTCTCTGGATCCGGAGGGCAGAGGTGTGTAGTGGCTCTCTGGAGAGGCAGAGGCAGCAGCACTGGAGGCCTGGGTGACAAAACAAAGATATCAGTGCTCTGGGTGGAGGTCAGTGAGGAGGCAAAGCTGCTGTACCCGCAGGATGAATGCTGGGATGTGGTTACAGGTGAGGAGTTACCAGCCACCAAGGATGAATTCCTTCTTGTTAAGGCTTCATGCCATTCCCCAAGGTTGCTGTACTCACAAGACAATGACATTATGTATCATTACTAAATGAATATTTTCATAGAGCTGACAGCTTAAAAAAATCACCATCTTTGTCAAGAAATCTTTAGGCAATGTTAAAATTTTCCTCTTGAAACAGATTAATATTTACCTAAAGGAAGTTATGAGTGTGGCCACATGAAAGAAAGGAGATAGAAAATAGAAAGTTGGGCTAAGGTGCCACACTTTTCAAATCTAAAGAAAAAAAATCCCAAATTATTTTCTCATTTCACTGTTCTGTGAGCTAAATGAAGAGCTCTATTAAGAATTATGGTGCCTATAATGCAAAAAATCTGTACAAGTATATAGAATTGTTAACAATACACACTTAAAACCCACACCAGAAGTCTAATAAAAGAAATAAGTACCCAAGAGGACTTGCTCAGAACTCTTAAAAGCAAAATATTAAGGGAGAAGGAACCCAATCTTTCCCCCTAATACATCTCAAGATCCGATGATTCCAATTTTAAAAGATTGAAGAGCTACAGTTTACAATGAACTGACCTTCATTCCATTGGATGTTTCAACTGAAGGAAAGATATATTACAGAATATAACACTAAAACAAGCCACATTTACCATCCTGCTTTTTAGTTACAGAACAGCAGTGTTGCATTGTTAGGAGAAGATATGAAAAGAAAGGATTGTGTTGGTGAATATGAATCAGTGTAAGTTTTTAAAGTTCCGTTTAACTTAGGCTAGTGACACCATAGTGATATGTCCAGTTTCGAATACAGAATTTGCTCTGGAGTATTTACAACCTACCCATTTCAACAGACATGAAAAGATGATGTGTTTAAATAGAAGACACAAAGGACAAGCTTTACTGAAAATTACATGATGATTTCTAATAAAAAAAAAAAAAGGCAAAGAGAAAAATATAAAAGCTAAACTATTTCTTGAATCTCATGATAAGGGAGTCTTGAGAAAATAATTGCTATCTTCTGTGCAGCTTGTTCCCTAATGATATATTGACTTCTAAACTGCGAAAGTCAATCAAAGGAATCCACCTCAATCTTACTTACTTTATAATTGAACATATCCTCAAAATTTATGAACCCCCAGCTCTCCAATGTCTGCTAAACATAAAAGTATAAAATTGGGCTACAGTATTTTGGGGAAGAAAAAGCAGAAATACTGATTCAAATCTTAATTACCAGACCAAACTCGAGAACAACAATCAGAAATCCATAGCAATGAAATTTAATCATGATAATAGTGGGTTACAGGCTGCAGCTTAGAAATCTTCCTTCCTGTAGCTGTTGGACTCCTAAATGATAGTACAAAACATGTTGAGGGGTGACTGACTAGATTAGCATAGTAAGCTTTTGCTTTTGGAGACCAGCCATCAATTTGTATGTCAGACCATAGTTATAATCTCATTTTTGTCCCTAGGAAAAATCAGGCCACAACATGAAGATGCATCATGCATCAAAACAAACATCTTAATAGAACTTAACAGAGACAAGTTTGCCTAAAGAGCAAGGATGCTGCTTATCGGATAGGAATAAAAATAGAGAATATCCTGCCTCTGCTGACTCACCAGTGATAATAAACCCTTTCCAGGGAACCTCCTGTTCAGAGATATTGCTGCAGACATAACTCTCACCTTCAGCCAGGATGAATAATACCTTGATTTTGGTGAACTGCAAACCTGCAGCTCAATCTACTCCAGACCATGAATTATTGGAAATCTCTCTGATGGCCAATATGAGCCAAGGGCACATAACATGTCAGAGGGAGAGATAGAAACCCCTTACACCCAGCTATGTGATATTTGAAACTAATTCCAAGAACAAGCATCCGTTCACGACTACGTGTTTCCTTTGGGTTGAGTAGATCTGGGTAAGAAAAGGAGAAAAACATCACTATTTAACATCAGACTTCATCCTTGTAAATCACTCAAAAAACTGGAAGAATAAGTGGTCTCATACTGTACACTCTAGATGTTATCTGCCTATTCAAGTGTACTTATTTGGGACTCTGATAATAGTGAAGGTTTCTCTTTGGTACTTTTAATCTCAATTTAGACTGTTGACAGCTTGATGATAGCTTTTCCTAAAATTACTGGAAGAGACTTTGCCATTTCAGCAATATACCACTGAGTGAGCAAAATTCAAGAGCTTCTAAAAAGGATATTGGATTGAAGGGGCAATTTAGCTTTATTTCCAATTTTAGGAAACACAAGAACAGAAGGGTTTGTTTATTGGTGTTTTTCTGTTATTTTATGTACAGTATATAATTCCCTGTCAAATATAGAAGAGTTTTCATTACCTTTGAGCTAAGCATTCAGTTAGAGCAACTTTAATTCTATGGAATATCATCCAGGGTTAGGATTGTTTTGCACAAACACCGGCTCAAGTTCCAAATCACGTTTCTGAGTAAGCCTGTGCACCAGCAGAAAGACAACTATTTGTTTTCCCTACCACATACTGACATTTGGCCCTAAGCTATTTTCCAAAGAGATTTGTATAGATTGCATTACTCTTAATATTCACAGGAATATTGTGACAGTGACAGCATTGACATGTGACAGTTATGTCTTCAAACATTGGTGACATATGCATCACAAGTTCCTCTTGCAGCGCCAAGTAACTACACATACAAGTAGCTTTGAGGAAAGCTGTTTAAACTCCTTGATTCAGTGTTACAGGAGCAGGTCACAAAATAACTCAGTAAAGAATTCTAACGGTACTGTTACAAAAGAAGTTTGTAGTTTTGCAAACCTTGAAGTCATCCAAGTTTTGCAGTATATCATTGTTCGTTGTTTAGGACTTACAAGACAAAGTTAGACTACTCACAGCCCCCCCATTATGCACATAACCAAACATTTGCTAAACTCTTTATATTAACCTGTGTATTTTGTCCAAATTTTTGTACTTGATACTAAATGGACTGTAAAAAGAGTACAATATTTGCAAAACATGTCCATCAAAATTACAGACATTATAGAAGATGAAGGAGGGGAAAAAAAAACCAAAAACAAGAAAACAAGCAGCCAAATGAAACTAAATTTGAGAGCAACAATACACCAAATCTTTAACTATTCAATCCTAGGGAATGATCAGGTAAGAACAACTTTCTTTGCAATGTATTTTCTTTTCTACAAACTTAGGAACCATACAGCCGGAAAAAAAAAAAGAAAAAAGAAAAAAGAAAAAAGGGCATGAAGCATGGAAGCATGGAAGAAGGGATAAAGAGACTAGAAAATATGCAAGAGCAGGCCCTGAGTGGAGCACTCCATATGGCAGAGTACAGCTGGTCTGGCTCTCCCTCCCCAGCTGGGAGCTCAGCCAGAGGGTTCAAATGGGCTGGCTGGAGTTTGTCACCCACCTCAACACACTGGGCTGTTCTGGGAAACCAAGAGGTGGCACAGCATCCCTACCAGAAAAGGAGATTGTTCTTGAGGAATGGGATTTCCCAGTTTCCTTGCTCCACAGCCAAACAGACTTAGCCATGAGTTAGCAGTTGTCTTTGCTAAACCTCCAGCATGAATTAGAGTCACTTTAATGAACGGGGAAAAAAATAACCCATTTAGAAGAAAATTGTCAGCCACACACCAACAACTAGCTCTCAAGAGTGGAGGAATCTAATTAGACTAAACAAACAAAAAAAAAAAGCTAAGTTGTTTAATCCCTGAATTCCACTTTTCAAGGAATAAAAAAATGCAATACTTGGATGGCGCTAGTAAGGGAACATCATGGGTAGTATCAGGACATACTGTACATCTGCAGCATCAAAACAAATTTGTAGAGACCAATGATTCAAAAATAAAAATGCTGTGCTATTTTTGGCAACCACACAAGTTCCTTCAAATATTTCAGCTGTTGAAGAAAGTAAAGGGGGAACTCAGACAAGCCAATCCTTTTTGAATCATGGTTTGAGAAAGCAAAATTTAAATGACTCTGCTATCCAAGTTATATCTCTCTACTAGACATTTCATGTTTATATTTCTAAACCCAGGAGTAAACAAAATCCCACTCCTGACACTTTTAAATCTAATCAATAATACAAGTGTTTCAGCTATAATCAACTGTATGACTTTAACCCTAGCAAATACTCATTCCAGATATTTTAGCAGATTATTTTCAGATGTGATGGTACTAATACAGTAGCCAAATTATTGTAGTATTAGGACAACAAGGAGAACAGTGATCTTATATTTGGGTTGGCCTTCCAATTTCAATTACCTTTAAGGAGAAAGGAAAGAGAATTTTTCTTATTTAACAGAATGGAGTTTAAGATTCAAAGCATTTCAGATTCAAAGCATTCCCTTATTCTCTTATAACTGACATTATCACTTCTCACTTGAATTTACTTTACCTTTTGGTTTTTACTTAATGTTAAATTGCAAGGTTGAAAGCAGGGATCAAAAATGCAAATGAACATCAGATAATTCTTATGCATTTAGGCTTAATTGAGTGTAATCGATATGTCTGGTGTGCAGCCAAATTCAACTATTGTGAAAAGCACCTAATGTATGGACATTATTTTTGGACTACTGAATGCCAGAAAATAATGAGCTGGCATTCAGCTTTGGTGAATCAGCCCTTGAATTTTCATCTAAGAGCAGTTTTTAATTATTACTGAAGATAAGGTGTAAATGTGCAAGGGAATTTTATCCATGTTTCTCCCATGAATCATAAATGAGGAAAAAAATTACAGTCTAAATTGCACTTAAAAGGAATAAAGTCTTTTCATGTCATACATGATTTATCAAAATGATCTCATTTTAAGAGTACTGTGGTGTATCTTGATTAATAACATTAGTAAGCATGATGAATGGCCTCTTTAATGGTAACACAG